ATGTATGTCCAACTACAACTAAAAATAAATATTTTTTTAAAAGTAAAGCAAAAAGACAAGGAGAAAAATAGGAGAAAAAAAGTAATATTTTTTGAGGTCCTGAACAGGAGAATCCATATCCTTCTAAAAATAAAAAATTACTCAAAATTCTTTATTTCTCTCCATTGAGACAATCAGAGAGAATGAGGAGAAGAAATAATTTTTTTTTCCCTTGAAGAAAATTTCTCAGAACTGAAGGAATTTCCAGATTGAAATGGCCACTGAGTGTCTAGCAGCATAGGTGACAAGAGACTTGTACCAGAATATGTAATTTTGACATTTTAGAATATTGAAGACAAACATAAGATCCTATCATGATCCAGAGAGAGGGAAAATTAGTTTCACACAAAACTTCAAGAGCAAAAGACTTCTAAAGCTAGGCTAGATAATGGAGCTCTTCTTTAAAAATTGGAAGAAAAAAACATTTTTTAATAGTATTCAATATCCAGCTAAATTATCAATTAAGGTAAAATTATAATTAAGGAATTTGCTAATATAAGGTTTCAAAAACTCTGTAACCTATCCCTTTTTCAGGAAGCCACTAAAGGACATGCTCCTCCAAAATATGAGGAATTAAAGTAAGAAAGAATTAAAAACAGGATCCAAGAAACTGGGTATCCAATATAAGAAAAAGATGATGTAACTACTGAGGATGGTGGTGAATGAAAATTAAGGTAACACTGCGTGTGTTCAGATTGTCCAGATTGAAAAAGATCAAAAAATTTCAGGATAGATTTCCTCAAAAAGATAAAATTGAGAGAATACTTAACATGTTTGGACCCATTGAGAGATTTACACAATAGTCTCTCATTTCTGGTATCTGGTCCTGGCTCATAAAGGTGACTAAATTCTTAATGACTCACTGACTTTTCAGCAAGGAACCCAAGATTATTAGAAAGATTTGAATGTACTATGGGACAGAGTTATTGCTTTAACCTACATTATCTGCAAGGTAACTAAAATTACAAAGAATCAGTCCCACCTTTATTATGGTTAGCTCTGCAGAGTTTCTTGATGCCACCCAAAATAACTTATAATCTTCACATATCAGGTATTCTTGTTTAATACAGTAATCCTCATTACCTGTTGAGAAGGATTAATTCAATTTAAAAATTACTATGAAAGTAAAGCAATTCCAAGGCATAATGGGGCATGTCAATATCTATAATGCTATTTCTTTTAATCTAGGAACATTTGTAGTACTCAAGCATTAAGGTCAACTACAAATAAGCACTTATTTATATACTGTCATGTGCAAAAAGATATGCACTCAATAATACTTACCTAATTCAATTTCCTTCTCTATTTCCAGTTTAGGCATTGGTCTATCTTCTACAGAAAACTCTGCTGAAGCACTTAACTCTGGTAGGGATTTTAGTAGTTGTCTGCGACTCTGAGGACACCAGGGTGACTGAATGGGGTTTTCTACGGCAAGAAAAAGTTGGAAAAAAAAATCATCTAAAATACTTACTGCTTAAAATGGACATTATAACGGGGGGCAGGGGGAATTACAAAATCAATACTGCCAATCTGATTATATTCATTTGCCTCAGGTCTTTATGGAACTATGTTCAGTTAGTATTAGTTTCTAGAAATATCACAATTGATAGCAACTTCTCTAGAGAGGAAAAAAATACAGTTAAGTTTGCTGAGATAAATAAGTGTTCATTAAACATGGATCTGGACATTTGCTCATAAAATTAGATGATACTACCTGTAGTCTCATTAGTAAGCTCCAGTTTCTCAGGAATCTGAAGACTTTTGATAGAGGAGGTACTTGAGACTGAGGCAGAAGATCCAGAGAAGCCAGAAGAGTGGGTGACTTCACGACTATCTTCAATAATTGGACTGAAAGAATCACAAGTGATTTTATTGATATCAATTATCTTAGGTATAACAGAATCAACAAAAATAAGCTGGTATATATTATCCCCATATTTCTGATCAACTTTATTTAAAAATCATTTATAATAATTGTTAGCTGTATTTTTAAAGCCCATTATTCTCTCAAATTAAAAAGAAAAAGATACATAATCACAATCTAGGTAACTTCCTCTCTCCTCGTTGATAAGCAAGGGCCAGGATTACATTTCTGGATTTATAATTTACCAAATCTATAGTTAAGAGTTCATTCTACATCTACTCTATTCTACTGAGAAATATTGACCAACACTGACACTAACTTTATTCCTCTTCATCCCTTCTCTGGACACTTTAGTCTTTAATAAGAGAAAGTCAAGAAAAGAAAAAGGAAACTCAACTCACAGAATGTGAACACATACCTGCAAATGAGATTAAAATTTGTCAGGGGAAAAGCTTGAAAATGCAGTTTTAAAAGCATAGATTGGCAAATTTAAGAATATTCCTAAAGCTGAAATTAGTTTATTTAAATTAGCTGACTCTTAAAAACGGATGGATCATAAGACTCAGTCCCTGGCTGTCTGTACTATTCTCTCATACCTACTCCCCAATTCATTTTTACCTATCAAAAAACACTTTTTCTTGGGCTGGGGATGTGGCTCAAGCGCTAGCTCACTCGCCTGGCATACGCGCGGCACTGGGTTCAATCCTCAGCACCACATACAAATAAAGATGTTGTGTCCGCCGAAAACTAAAAAAATAAATATTAAAAAAAATTTCTCTCTCTAAAAAAAACAAAAACAAAAACAAAAAACACTTTTTCTTGCTGGCCATGGTGGCACATGCCTATAATTCCAGCAGCTCAGGAGGTTGAGGCAGGAGGTTGCAAGTTCAAAATCAGCCTCATTTCAAAATACACTCTATTGTCACGTATAGCTAAAAACAAAAAAACAAACAAGAAAATAGCATGCACCCAGTAAGTCAGACGGTTTTTGCAAAGTGGGCAGCACCACCAGCCTATACTCAGCGAGCCAACTTCCAGGCAAAACAACATTCCCACTCCTAAAAGCTATTAGACATACACAAAGGGCCAAATTTGACTTCTATTTAAGAGAACATGGAAGAATGACACGATTTAAGCAATATTTTGGTTAAGAGGTACATACCTGTATCCATCTTCTATTTCCATATAGATTAGGGAAATTTTTTATTAACTGGTTGTCATTAGCTGACAACCTTACGTTTAAACCAAAACATGAAAAATTTGTCCCAGTCAGAAATCCATAAAATCAATTAATTCTGATGTGAATTAATATGATGTATGTCACTTCTTAAAGGAGTGGTGTGATAAAGAAGAACAAACATGGCTTTTGTAGTTGACAGGTCAAGGTAAAAAAAAAAAAAAAAAGTCAGCCTCAGCAATAGTGATTCTCTAGACCACTTAATGAGACTCTATCTCAACATAAAAAAATTTTAAAAAGGCTAGGGATGTGACTCAGTGGTTAAGTGCCCCTGGGTTCAATCCCTGGTACTAAAAACCAAAAACAATACCAAAGAAACAACAACAACAAACACCTTTTTCTTTAATACATCTCCAGTTGATTATCTGAAATCAACATTAGTTATTCTACCATTATTTTAAATTTAATATTAAGAAAAAATTGTCTCCTCTTTTCTAATCTTATACCTAAATTGTTGCATTTTCTCAAAGGTATTATAATCCTCCTAGATCTCTTAGACTCATAATTATCACAATTTACTTCCTATAACCCTTGTATCCAAATTAATCACTAAGTTGATAATTTATATAGAAAAGCCTTACTCTCATATAAAGCATTTGGCAACTAAGTACCTAGCAGATAATAAGATAGTGATAATTGATCGCAGTAACTGACAAGCATTCATACAATAAGAAAGCAAACATTCTGATTTGTAAAACCTATAATCGCCCATCACCTCAGTTTCTTGATGCTGAGGGTTTGATTGTAGATGGTGCCACATGCAGTCTGCTGCTCCTCAGAAGTCTTTGCATCTAGATCCTCTTCCTGCAATAGTCTCTCAGGATCAGAAGGGAGATCCTTCAAAGACATTATCTCATGAAAAGGAGTGGATGCAAAATGAGCTGCTCTAGCAAAGTCACAAGTGTCTTCTGGGTTAGGACAAATAGTTACATTCCTGAATCCTGTGATAATGGCATCCTCACTCAAGGGCTCAATTCCAGTAAGTTCATCCTGAAATAAAAACCATATAGTTTAGCTGAAATATATCAATAAACATAAGAATGGTGATGATTACTAACAGAGAATACATAAGTAGCATATCAGGATCTCTAGGTAAAGACAATAAATAAAAGCACATGACAGCTTTTGAAGAAAATGATTTTGAATCACGAACACAAAAAACTATGCCTAATCAAAAAATAGACTGTGATGAGTCTCCATACAAGAAAAAATATTAGCCAATTTTTCACCCAAAGAATTTCACCTAAATAAAGCACTAATATTATTTTTCTTCTGTCATTCACTTAGAAAATATTCTGCCATTTTCTTAATTTTTAAGAGAGGAAACATGTCTTCCTCCGCTATGCCACATACTTAATTTTTATTTTATTCCTTAAAGGTAATTCATGATTTTGATAGAAATGGAAAACTAAGTATCACAATGAA